GGTGCATTCTTGGCATGTTAAGTAGGACTAAAATCTAGATTGTGCATCATTTGTGGTAGATCATTAAACTTGTGAGATTTTGAGCCTTTTAATGGATAATATTCAAAAATCCATATTTTCTTTCTTGTGTGTTTCACTCATGTTTGTTAGTCTCTAAAATTTGAATTGACTCTGTTGAAACTTTTTGTTTACTTGTGCACACTGATATGATAAACGCATGTTGTTTTGTTTTATTTTGAGCCAGTTAGCCAAAAAGCCATCCCTGCAAATATTAACTCTTGTTTGGAAACCCCTTTGAGCATATTATCACATTCTTTGTTTAAACTCATTTACAAGGCTAAAAGTGAAAAACAATATTATCACCATATTCAAAGGGTTGAAAGAGTCTGGTATGAAGTTGGGTGAGGTTGAACAATATAGTTGTGATGTTTCAAAGGTTGGTAGAAAAAAGAAAAATTACTGAAAAAGAAAAAATACAAAAAATATGGAACAAAAAAGAAGGATGTCAATATAATTTTCTTCTGAAGAAAAAGAAGAAAAAAAGAAAAAGAGAAAAAGAGAAAAGACAAGTTGTTTGTAAGTGAATGAAATATTTTGAAGTTCAACTCCCTCAGGTTCCTTCACCTTTCTTTTGATCCTTTGAATTTTAGCCTAGTACCCCTTAGGATTTATCTTACCCTTACCTTGGCCACATTACAACCTGAATAAAAGTCCTTTTGATCTTTGTGTGCATGTATTTAAATTGTGGATGTTAGAGTCTTTTCAAGCTTATGGTAGTACTAACTTTCATGTTGTGTTTTGAGTATAAACAGTTAATATAAACAGTTGAGAGTTGAGTGAATTTTATCTTGTGAGGATCTTGCTACTTATGATGTACTTTCCGGTAAACTTTCCCCTTATCTGCTTTAAATGTTACAAAATGTTTCTCACTAACACCATTTTTCATGAAGCTTAGACTTAGGATTTTACTTACACTTTTGTCATTTTAAAAACCTTGGGAAATGCATGTGTTGTTTGTTTTGAAGTTTTGAAGTTTTTCTGTTTTTATTTTTAATTTTAATTTTATTGAAGATTCTTATTTGATCCTGGAATAAAAGGCGAAGAGACTAATAAAAATATCAAAGTCAATGGATTCTACCCAAAGTTACTCTATGAGATCTCCACTTTGGAAGAGGAGACCGTAGAAAATCTCTCTTCGGGAAAGGATGCTTATGCGATCACCTCCCCAACTTAATTACTCGAGTGTGTTCTTTCCTTTCTATTTTAAGTTTATTTTTCCCTTTTAATTTAATTTCTTATTTTATTTTTAGCATTAACATTTATTTGATATATGTTCACTGTGCAGACCATAATTTGAGCTACGAGAGTCGGATGGACGCGTTCTAATAGGAGTTAGAAAGCTAAGAGAAAGGGATACAAGTTCTATGTTGAGAACAAAAGTTGATTCGGAGTGAAGCAGTATCAAATAATTCGTTGAAGTTTTAGACTTTAGAGAATAACTAGTTTTGGGCCAGCTTTTAGGTTTTTCGACCCAGTTAGAATTAAAAGGGGAAATCCTTATTTTTGTATAAGAAGTCAGCCGCGACACTGTTCACATTACACATTATTCACGATTTCTATTGTACGGTTTCATCACTTTGAAGTTATTCTAATACCAATTTAATTTCGATTCCTTTCAATTCTTTTCTATGAAGTCATTTGCTTAATTTGATTGCTTTCATTTGCTTAATTCGATTGCTGGATAGATTTGATTAAATTTGATTGTATGCATGTTCCAAATTTTAATTGTGTGTTAACTTAACTTCTTCGTTAGCCTTCGCCTAGTCTTTAAACTGTCATGCTTTATCTAATTGATCTCATAATCAAATAGGATCGAATCTGCTTAAATTCATAAGATATTGATTGCGCTTGTCTAATTGATCTCATAATCGAATAGGAACGGATAGCTTAGGGATTGGTGTTATAGTAACCAATGATAAGTTGGAACCCGAATCAGTAGGACTATTCGTTTTAGCTTATTTGATAATCACTTATTTTCTCTTGTTTTCTAAATCGAAACCTAAAACCTCCCATAAACCTTTAATTTAGTCGGTTAATTCAATATAAGAATCTTTGTGATACGACTCGAGTCATTGTCGCTAAACTATTATTTTTAAAATTATTCGTTTTGATCAGTGCGTGACAGCGGATCACATACCTTCAAGGCAACCCACATATTTGCAGGATTATCATTGTTCTCTATTTCAAGGTATTTCTCCTCCTTTTCCTTCCAATAATTTAGGTATGCAACCTTACCCTCTTTCTCATTACATTTCATATGCTAATTTATCTAAATCTCATAGATTGTTTAATTTAAAATTTTCATTTGTTCAAGAGCCTTCTTCATATACTTCTGCCGTTACTAATCCTAACTGGCAGCAGGCTATTGCCTCTGAGGTTCAATCCCTCAATAGCCTTAACACTTGGGAGATTACATCCTTACCTCCCAACAAACGTGTCATAGGATGTAAGTGGATTTTCAAACTAAAATACCTTCCCAGTGGCACTATTGAGCGATATAAAGCTCAGCTTGTTGCAAAAGGCTTTAATCAAACCGAAGGCCTTGACTATTTAGAAACATGTAGTCCTATAATTAAATTTTACCACCATAAGAATCTTGTTGTCTGTTGTTGTTTCTGCTAACTGGCACATTCACCAATTAGACATAAATACTGCATTTTTATTTGGGGATCTTGATGAAGAGGTTTATATGAAACCGTCATCTGGCCTCAATGTACCTCCTGACATGGTTTGTAAACTTAAGAAATCTATTTATGGCTTTAAACAGGCCAGTCGCCAATGGAATAAAAAACTATCTCACACCCTTCTTAATCTTGGATTCTCCCAATCCAAATCAGATTATTCTCTTTTTACCAAATTGGGTGCTGACTATTTCACTGTTATACTTGTATATGTTGTTGATTTAATACTTGCAGGCACCTCAATTGTTGAAATCAATACAATTAAACAACTTCTGGACATCAAGTTCAGCATCAAGGATCTTGGTTTATTACGCTACTTCCTTGGGTTTGAAATTGCTCGCTCTTCAGCAGGCCTTACACTTTGCCAACGCAAGTACTGCCTTAACTTGATGCAAGAAACTAGCCTCCTATGTGCTAAACCTACCTCAACTCCTATGGATCCCAAGCAAAAACTTGATGACCCTGATGCTCTTGCCCTGATTGATCCTTCCACCTTCAGATATATCATAGGCAAGTTACTATATTTAACACATTCACAACCTGATATCATTTTTTCTGTTTGCAGGTTGAGCCAATACCTTGCAAGGCCTACTCAAGTACATCTTATTACGGAACACAAGATTGTTCGTTATCTCAAAAACGCATCAGTACTTGGATGGTTCTTTAAGCGTGGATCCTCTTTCAAACTAACTAGGTTTGTTGCCTCTGATTGGGGCTCCTGTCCAATGACTCGCAGATCAACCTCAGGTTTCTGCTTCTTCTTAGGCGACAACCTCATCAGCTGGAAAACAAAGAAACAACTTGTGGTGTCTCGTTCATCTTCTGAAGCGGAATACCGTACTCTTGCAAACACAACGTGCGAAGCACAATGGCTGTTCTACCTTCTTCAAGACTTCAAAATCCCCCATCCCCTTCTTGTCACTCTTTATTGCGACAACCAAAACGCAATATACATTGCCACCAATCCTATCTTCCACGGGCAAACGAATCACATCGAGATGGACTGCCATATTATTCGTGATAAATTACAAGCTAAGACAATCCACCTTATGCCTATCAACACAATCAACCAAGTTGCAGACTTGTTCACTAAAGCTCTGCACCTAGGACCCTTTCATAATTGTGTTTCCAAACTTAGACTGTTGCACATACACTCTAGTTTGAGGGAAGTTGTTGAAATTCATAAGTACAATATCACTATATAGGCGCAATAACTAATCTTCCACCCTTGTTTTTTAATTTTTTAACTGTTACTCTTTTTGCTATTAATAGCATGAGATTCATTCTGTAAAACTCACTTGAAGCAATAATAATATCATGTTATCTTTTCTATGTGTTATCTTCAATATTTCTAAATCATCATGATTCAATTTCGTTGAGCCATATGTTAACAATGTTATTGCATAATAACAAAAGCAAGTACACTCCTACACCAAGAGGAAAGTAATCTCAATAACAAAAAGTAAAGATCATGAAAACAAACTAAACTTCTCACGAGAGAAGTACCCAAACAAAGGTCTAGAGGAAAGGAGAAGAAATATCAATTATTCCACACCAAATTCTTATCCTCTATACACCTTATCTAGTGTTAAGAATCTTCACACTAGCATAATTATTTTTATCCATTATTTCATTCTCTTGTGCTAACTCATTCTCTTGTGGTCTCAAATTATTTACTGGATTTCTTACACAACCCTAAATCGCCGTAATAAAAAATATGTATCTATCGATTTAATTGTGATCAACTAGTTTCTCATTTACTTTTATTTTAGCATTACATTTATTTAATTGTATTCAAAACGTTTTTGTGTTCAATTCATTGGTCGATATTCTTAAAAAAAAAAAATTGAAGAAAAAAATATTTTTAACTACAATTCAAACCTTCTTTTTAGTTTTTTTTTTTTCACTAATCAAAAATATGTGCTAACTTTTGGTTGATATTTATTACTTTAAAAAAAATGTAATAGAATTCTACTTATGGCATTCATAATGACAAATATTCCTGATACAATCGACTTTATCATCTTAAGGAAACAAACATTCTTCTTTCATATAAAGAAAACAAATTTTCAGAAAATATATTTACTTCAAAGTAATTTCGATGTACCAAGATACTACAAATGTCACCTAGGTTAGGTAACAAGTTTTAGTGACACATGGCTAGTAACCCATGTGTTTATGCTTCCTCAGCTGGCTATAAATCAAGCCATGCAAGTAACATATCACTCATCAAACTTCTCAAATAAACAAACAAAAAAAATGACAACCTATGCCACCGTTTTGTTTCTCTTCTTTGTCATGTCCACAACCTCTTCCTTTTGTCTCCAAGAAATGGAGATTCTCCAAATGGCCAAAACACAAGTTTCACAAGCCATGAATTGGGTTGATAACTCTATGAAATTACATGGCTTGGAAAGTATGAGTGTGTCATCATTGAATCAAACAAGGGTTTTGGCTTTAAGAGATTGTGCTAAACTCTATGAGGAGAGTGAGTTTAGGCTTAGGGATATGATGGTTGGAAAGAGGGGTTATAGTAATGATGATGCTCTTATATGGGTGAGTGCATTGATGACAAATCATAGGACTTGTTTGGATGGGTTGAAGGAAAAAGGGCATGTTCAAGGTGATCATGTTTTGGGTAGAAACTTGACAAGTTTGCTTGGCCAAATGCTTGTTTTGTACTCTAAAAACAAAGTCAAAAGCAAAGGTAATAATTTATTATTATAACTTTTTTGTTTTAAAAAAGTTATTATAACTTATACAAAATTTTGTTTATTGTGATAAAAAAAACTATACTACTTTTTTAAGGAAGGTTTTTCCTCTATAAAAGATGGGAATCTTGTGTCTTTCTTACATTTTTAAACTATTTTTTATTTAATATATTCTTGGCTCTACGAGACAAAAAAATAGTTTTAAATGAATTAATTCATAAACTTGATTTTATTTTAAAATTTATTTTATAAGTGATTTTATTTAAAATTATTTTTTTAAATTTGGTTTTATTTGAAAATGTGAATTGAACTTTAAATAAATTAAATTTAAATATATTTACAAAAAATGAATTCAGCAAATTTGAGTGTAAAATTTAACTTTACTTAAAAGCTATAAAATTTAACTCAAACTAGAGAAAAAATTAATTCTACTCAATAAAAAAATTAATAAGTCAAAATTATTATAAACATTTAATTTACAGTCAATTTTAATTGATTCAAGCACAAAACCAATTATAGACTTAAGAGAATTTTTCATTAGTATAATATATATTTCTTTTAAAAAATGGAAATGTCAATTATTATAAAATACAAAATTTTAAAAATATTAATATTTCTTAATTATTTATACACAAAATCATAGTAATAGAGGTACATATTTTAATATTTCTTAACTATTTATACACAAAATCATAATAATAGTGGTACATATTTCTTAAGAAAAATGAAAAGGATCGTATAATGGATCAATATTAATATTAGTATGAGTTTAATGATAGTGTCACTCTAAAAAAATATTTTATATATATATATATATATATATATATATATATATATATATATATATATATATATATATATATATATATATATATATATATATATATATATATATATATATATATATATATATATATATATATATATATATATATATATATATATATATATATATATATATATATATATATATATATATATATATATATATATATATATATATATAAAATTAAAATATTTAAATAATTTAAAATTTAAAATCCAATTTAACGGAATATAAAATCGTCATTAATTCAAAGTGTAACGTGTACCATCACTTTTCTCTTTTCTCTATTAGTATAAAATTTTACATTACCTAAGCCTCATCTACCTTCTGCCAGTGCACTAAATGCTACATAAATAACAAATTATATTATTCATCTACCTTCTCTTTATATGTAATACTCTTTATATAGTAGGAAGCTTTAAAAATATCATTTTATCAATAAAGAAAAGAAAAGTATCACTCTTATCATTAATAAAAACAAATTTTAAAACTGTTTAAAGACATGGACTTTTGTTTAAACATAGAATCTCCATTTGAAACTTTATTCTGATATTTTCAACAATTTCACAAGCTTAAATATTTTATAAGCTAATTACTCAACCTATTATTTTTTTTATGAACTAACTACTCACATATTTAATCTATCAAGAAAAATATTATAAAAAGACAAAATTTAAATGGATATACACGAAACGGTGCGGCGCTTAGAAGCGCTTATCAAAACGTACTTCTTTCAATCTTGTTCAGATTTGTCATTTTCTATTAACTACGTGTTTCAACTTCCTCTACCTATATCTAGCATAAGAATTTTCAAGAATCTCAATACTTTTATCAAAAGTCAGAATATTGTTCTTTACCGTAAAAAAACAAACAAAACAAATAAAAAACTGACTAGAATATGCATTAACCTCGTTATGCCGCAATTATTATCCATGAACAACAGACGTGTCGGTGTTGGTGTTTTATTTCTGGTATCTGTATCTTTGTTTGTGTTTTGTTTTTAGTGTCTGTAACTATCCAACTTTTTGTTTCTGGTGTCTGTATTTGTGTTGGTATTTGTTTCGGGTGTCTTGTTTCTTGCGTCTGTAACTCTATCCAACTTATAAGAATTCCCCGTTATATATTCATATTTTTTTTCAGATAAATTTCAAAGGATTACAATATCAGAAGAAAATGATGGACTATTAGAATCATGGAGTGTTGAAAACCATGAAGCAGATTTCACAGTGGCACAAGATGGTTCTGGAAGCTATAAAACAATTAAAGAAGCAGTGGATGCACTTGCTTCAAGAGGGCATAATCGTCCTTCAAGAGTTGTTATACATGTGAAAGCTGGAGTGTACAATGAAAAAGTTGAGATTGGAAGTAAGTTGCATAATATAATGTTTGTTGGAGATGGAATTGATAAAACTGTTATCACTGGAAATAGGAATGTTCTTCGTGGTGGAACCACTCTTAACTCTGCCACATTTGGTAAGTCACTCAGAAAATATCTACTAGTGCAGATTCCGAACTTCATAATTCAATATACTAACACGGTTATATATATATATATATATATATATATATATATATATATATATATATATATATATATATATATATATATATATATATATGAAACAGATGTATCGGGGGATGGATTTTGGGCAAGAGACATGACATTTGAGAACACAGCCGGACCACAAAACCATCAGGCAGTAGCCCTCAAAGTAAGTTCAGACTTATCAGTCTTCTATAGATGCAGCTTCAGAGGCTACCAAGACACACTCTACCTATTCTCGAGTCGACAATTCTATCGCGACTGTCGCATATACGGCACAATCGACTTCATATTCGGCGACGCAGCTGCAGTACTTCAAAACTGCGACATTTTCATTCGAAAACCACTGAGTCACCAATCAAACTTCATCACCGCGCAAGGACGAGACAATCCCAACGAACCGACCGGATTTTCCATACAAGCCTCTAGGGTTAGGCCGGATTCGGAGTTCGTGACGGTGAAGGATTCTGTGAACACGTTTTTAGGTAGGCCTTGGAAGAAATATTCAAGGACGGTGTTTCTTAAAAGTGATCTGGATGGTTTGGTTCATCCTAAGGGATGGGGTGAATGGGAGGGTAGTTTTGCAATTTCAACTTTGTATTATGGGGAATATATGAATACTGGAAATGGTGCTTCTACTGAAAATAGGGTTAATTGGCCTGGTTTTCATGTGTTGAAGAGTGCTGAAGAAGCTTCTCCTTTTACAGTGAGTAGATTTTTGCAAGGTGGAAATTGGATTTCAGCTTCTGGGGTACCATTTGTTTCTGGAATTTGACTTCTGAAAATATTATCTATTAATAATGTGCAACATAGGACTTAAGTTAGCACTATGTTATATAGGTTATATTTATAAATTCAAGTTTTAAGCTAGTTTGTTTTATATTCCTAAGATAGCACCATCAACATAATCAAATTGTTGATTCAAACATCTTCACAATCATCTAAGCTTATTAAAATAAAGATATTCTTAAATATTGTCAATAGGAATGGTTCAAACATAAATAATATAAACTTTTGCTTTTAACATTTTAAATTAATCACATTTTTTTAAAGATGTTTATACTTCCAAACTAGAAATGTTTTCATGTGATTGTATGGATGAGTTTAGTGGTTATAGTTAATTTGTCTATGGATTAAAATTTTAAAAATAAAAATAAAAAGTTTTCAAAGTTAATAAATAATAAATTTAAATCAGTCACAAGCGCAATTCTTATTTTGTTTCTCAAGTTACCATAACACAATTAGCATGATTAAACTGTTGATTCATGCATTTTCTTGACACTATCAAAAATTGTTGAAAACAATAGAACAATATAAAATGAAAATGACTTCTTGTTTGAGAGTTTGGAGAAGAGAAAATGAAAATGACGTCTTGTTTAAGAGTTTGGAGAAGAGAGAAGGGATTCAAAAAATTAAAAAAAAAAATTAGATGTAAAAAAAAATGGTCAATATTTTTTGAAAAAAAAATATTTGTTTAGGATAATAAAATAAGTTTATCATTTTGAAATAATATAAAAACAAAAATTATATTATAAATTTTTCAAAACTCTCCAATGCAATTTTTTTTCCTTTTTTTAATGTTGAGAATAAAAACAAAGCCTCTAAAACTCCCAAACAAAATCTTGAAGGTGTCAAATGAAACAAAACACTCCAAATTTCATATTAAGTTTTTGAGGAGAAAATGTTTGAATGTTTTCAAACCTTAAACCTAAAACTGTTTTATATTAATCTATAAGTATAATCGTGATACTTTATCTGATCACATGCACAATTTCATTCGAATCTTGATTTTGAATTTAGTTTGTAGTAATATTTGTATATTTTCTTCGTCGGTCATCATCACATTATAAGTGATTCTCTAAGACTACCTTTGCTCATCCACCCTAGTCAGTGATGAATGATTTGTTTATTTAGAATGAAAAAAGAAAATTGATTTTACAAATGCTATAAGTTGTTTTCATTATCTTGAAGAATTTATATAAACAATTTCAAAATAATTTATGAAAAATGCTGTCAAAACAAGCCCTAAATCAGTGTCAAAACATATAGAAGCAAATAGCTCATCCAAACAAGCCCTAAATCAGATAAGCAACTGCAAACTCCTTCCAATAACCAAACTGCTTTGTTAAGTTGGGTAAACTTTGACAAAAAAATAGACCATATTGTTAGCTTCTCTTTTAAGTGATTACAGCCAAACCTGTAAAAAGATATATATAACTTGCAGGTTCTATTATCAGCCCAAAGTAGAAAGGAATAGTGTTTACGTTCTTATCACAAAAGAAAATGAAAAGAAGCCCCGGCATTGATGAATCAGTCTGTATAGTCTTCATCTTCTTCCGAGTCATCGTATAATTGTTCTTCATCTTCTTCTTCTTCCAAGTCATCGTCGTACAATTGTTCATCATCTTCTTCCAAGTCATCATCGTACAATTGTTCATCATCTTCTTCTTCCAAGTCATCATCGTACAATTGTTCATCATCTTCTTCTTCCAAGTCATCATTTGACTGTTCTTCCCCCGTAGCGTTATGATTTACCTACAAGATAAAAATACTAAAATCAGCAAGAAAAAGACAATTTAGAATTAATCGTCAATCAGATGCATTCTTAAATTATCGCTTTAGCTCTCAATGAGGGTAACCTGCATTCTGTGTGGTAATGATTTATACTCTGACAAGAATGATTTGGGACATAGATTTGGGACACTAGAGATTCTATAGTGTGTCCAATGAGTGTCTAAAGTGTGTCAAAGCAAAGAAAAAAAATGCAGACACTTGTCTGACACATGTGCGAGGTTCGTACGGGGTGGACACTGGGACACGCACCATCATGTTAGTGGTGTCCATGCCTCACAACAGTGGAGGAATTGCAGTAAGAAATGAAAGGTGGAAACTATTGAGAATGAAATTATTGTTTCAACTGTAAGGAAAGCATACCTCGTGATTATTTAGGGTGTGTGCAGATGCAGATGAATACAGAGCATTGTTATTTTCATTTAGGGTTAACAAAGCTACCAAATCCCCCATATCATGGCCTGAGTTGCTTTGGTTTAGCATGAGCCTTAGAAGAACTTCCAATTTTCCCTCTATTGCTGCCATCTCTTCACTATGTTTAGTCTCCAACATTTCATGTTTTACCCTCATTTCTTGAACCTTTTCAGTTAAATGTTTAACTTCAGCAGCATGCTTCATTTCAATTTCTGAAATTTCTTTATTTCTTTTCAAGAGAGAAGGTGTTGTAACTCTTCCATGGCAGCGCACTCTTCCTGGTTTTTCTTTGCCGAAGACAGTTCGAAATGCCTCATCAGAAGGCTGACCAGAATTTATGATCAAATCTTTAAGATTTGTCTGGCAAAATTAAAGCAACATTAGTTAAGCATATATATGATTATATTTGACTAGATAAAATTATAAAGAAAAACTTACGATTGTGTTACTTGTAACTTGGTCTAGCTGATTTCCTCTCTTGCTTTGTCGTGTTTCAATAAAAACCTCAGCTTGACTAGGGGGCTCTCTATCATCCTTGGCTGCACGCTACACAAAGCAAAATGAGATTTATTAATAGTAGTTAAAAATCATCATTGACGGTAGAATCTAAATATTCGACATCCGGAGCAAGCTTCACAAGACCAAAATATGTAGATTTCTTCCACTGAGGTTGTTGGTTTTAAGTGACAATAATATTAGTCATTCACATCCATTTCTTCATCAACGTCAGAATTTTCCCCTAGTAGTTGGTGTAGGTGGCTCCATTCTACAAGTGTGGACATTTTCAGAAAGAAGTCCATTCAGTGGGGACTTAAATCCCAATATGAAGCTTGCCCAGGATAACAAAGAATCAGTCGTAACCAAAAATAAAATTTACTTGTTCGCTAATAGTAGTAAATATGAGATACCAGTTTTTCCCTGATGATAGCAAAGCTTATGGGACCTGCTCGATGTCTACATTTTTGTTGAGCTGTAATGTTAGCATTTTGATGACTAATTTTCTGCACTCATGAATGAGAAACTCAATTCATTAAATCTGAAAATAATAATGTATACACAATTCAAATCAAATTTATCTTACTTGAACGATTTCACAACTCCAATAATTCATTAATTTCCTAAAGTGTGCTTCTGGTATGTTAGCTGGACGGTTTTTCAGCCGATCACACAAGTTTTCATACTTAGTGAAATGATTTCTTTTAATAGAACATTTGTACCGCCTCCAAGCATCATTTATGATAGCATACACAACCTTCTCTCCTTTTTCTGGAACAATGTATTTTTTCTGCAAAAAAAAGGATCGTGATTAGACAAATATATTTTATCAGAATGCCCAAACACACATGCTAGATGAGTTGTTACATTGACATAAGCCCATATGTTCTCCTTCTTGTTTGGTATAGCCTTCCAATTAGTGTAAGTAAGAGGACATAAATCTGACATCCTTGCTACTGATCCCAAAAAATTGCTGAATTCAGAAACTATCTTTTGAGTTGGTCCAATGGGCTCTCCTTCTTCATTTAAGGTGATTTTTTGTCTTTCAGCAAGTGACCGGGCATGAATTTCCAAGCACCGTGTCCTTCCTCTTTTCCCTTTTTTTGATGCTTCGCCTAGTTAGCAGTACAATATCATACAAGTTATATATAAGATAAAGTAAATTGAGTTAACTATGATCATATGCATACACATCGTTTGTACAGACATATTTTGATTCAGACAGCATAAGAGATATATAAGGCTCAACCAACTCTGATACAAAGCAGTAAAGAATATAGCAGGAAAAAAAAAAGCAAAGCCTATACACAGATGATTTACTGAATAAATCATCTGATTTCATATATGAATTAACAAACTGTTGTACAAAGGGGCTACTTTACTATATAGATAAGAGGAGCCTAACAATGGAACCCTATCTGAATGTACAGCTGAAACAACTAAATACTAACAGATAGGTAACCAAAAACTAACACAGAAAGAATGAACAACTAAGGGAAGGTATAAGTGATGAAGATGAAACATAGTAGGGGTGTTACCTTCCATTGGATTGTTATTAGTTTTCTCACCGCCATCATTTCCATAGTTAATATCACCCTCAACATCACCATCACTATTTTCATAGTTAATATCACCCTCAACTTCAAGTTGTGGCTTATATATTTTGAAATAATCATCAAGTGACATTGATGGACACATTCGAGTAGTCTTTTGCTTCTTGAATGGTCCATGATCAATATGGTCCTTTTGGAACTGAGCAGAAGATTGATTGCTTAATCCACCAAAATGACTGTGGTCCTCTAGTTTAGTTTTTCAAAACATGAAACAGAATAACAAAGTTCAGTAAGTCAGTATATTAACAGTAAGACAGTAGAGTAGCATGAGAGGCAATACCCCAAAATAATAAAACAAAATAAGGGGAAAGAACAGTATTAACAGTAAGTCAATTAATTTACCATACAAAAAGCAATATCACTACTTCCTCCATTTCAAACACGACACATCTCTCTAATTTCCAATTATATTATACTCTCAAGCTTCTCTTTAGTGTAGTCTAATAATTTGGACTTCTTAGTTAATGCATGAAGTAGAATGGGTTGTGTGTGGGGCAATTAAAAAGCCTAGTACAAATCGCAGGCCAGGTTTTGAACCATTGTATAGTAATAGTGGTCAACAACCAGAATGTAGCAGCCAAAATCACAATGGCCTCACAAATGACGATTGTAGTGATGAAAGGAGCACTATTAATAATGGACAAGTGATGACTGGAAAAGCATGTTTGGAAACCTGGCCTATGGTCTAGCTTTTTATGTTGTATTTGAGTAGATCCTGCCACTTGGCCTTTCAAACTAACTTCTGATTTTCCTCATGCGGGCAAACCAGAGTCTAGCCCAACCTTACATAGGCGACCAGAATACAGTCCAATACAACATAAGAAACCAAAACTCAGCTCAATACCACCACCACTAACTATGAAGATCTACATCTATCAATTGCCCTTAGAAAATACACCAGTACCAACAAGCCACTCTACCCCCTGGTTTAGAACATTACTCGGGAATTGGGTCTTCTATCAAATGGAAGAAAAAATATGTGTAGGGTACAAATGAATACACACTAAAAAATACAAGATTGATGGATCTATTGAAAGATACAAGGCAAGATTAGTAGCCAAAGGATTCACTCAAAATTATGGAGTAGATTATTCACAGAATTTACTTTAGTTTTAAAAATGAATAATGCTTGTGTGCTTTATCTTTAGCAGCTAAATACAATTGGAACTTGCATCAATTCCATGTAAATAGTGCTTTCCTTAATAAATTTACATGAACATAACCTGTGGATACGGTGAACAATGTTGACAACACTAACTTGAAAAAGGCTTTATGTGAGCTTAAGTGGTTTTAGAGGTTTACTTGTGTCATGATAGGTCTAGGCTTCAAAGAAAATCATGGGAGAGTAACGGTGTTGTTATTATATGTGAATGACATTATAGTGAAGGGCAATAATGAAAATGACCAATACCTGTTAGGATTAGAACAACATCTAGCCAATGAACTTGAGATCAAGACCTTGGGGAAATTGAAGTATTTCTTAGAAGTTAGAAATTGAAGTGGCCCTCTCCAAGAAACGGACTTTCACATCCCAACAAAAATACATCATTGATCTTTTACAAGAAACGGGCAAGGCAGCAAGCAAGCTTACGAGTACACCAATAGATCAAAATTTGAAGTTGAGAATGCAGAAGATGTTGGCTGTTGTTGACAGGAAAATGTATTGAAGGTTTGGAAGGCTCTTATATCTATCGCATATTAGACCTAACATTGCTTTGTTGTAAGCCTAGTTAAGCAATTCACGCACCAACCAAAGGAGGTTCGCTCCCAAGAAGCACTCAAAATCGTGAAATAACTGAAAGGAACCCCAGGAAGAGAAATTGTGTAAGGGAAATGGAAGTCTGGGTCATAAAGCATATAATGACGATGACTATGTAGGTCAATTGTGAATAAGAGATCAACTACATGATATTGCACTTTCCTGTGTGGGAATAATGTGACGTGGAAGAGTAAGAAACGAAGTGTGGTATCCAGGTCTAGTGCTGAAGTGGAATTCAGAGCAATGACACAAGGGATATGTGAATTACTATGGTTGAAGATCATTTTGGAGGACTTGAAGATAAAATGGGATGAACATATGAAACACTACTGTGATAACTGATAACAGGTCTACTATTATCATAGCCCCTAATCTGTACTGCCAGACAGAACCAAGTATATCGAAGTTGACAGAGTGGCCTAACATGCACTCCATATGTGTCCCCGCCCAAAGCAACTTTGAAGATCTTCTAACAAAGGAGCTGAATCGTAACAACTTTGAAAATATTGTTTCCAAGCTCGGAATGGAAAACACCAATTCACCAGCTTGAGGGTTAGTGTCGAAACTGTTATTTTTATTATTATTACTAAGGGACATTTTACCCTAATCCTAAGAGCAACAGAAGAGCGTCATATGCATATGCATATCATATCTACCATTTGTGATGACAATGATGAAATGTAAGTGATAATGATAAAATGTGAGTGATGATGAAACGAGTTAACAAGTAGGAGTGTTACCTTCTATTGGATCATCATTAGTTTTCTTGCCATCATCACTTTCATAGGAAATATCATCCTGAACATCACCATCATTATTTTCACAGTTAATACCCTTGTCAACTTCAAGTTGTTGCTCATTCCTTTTAAAATAATCATCCAGTGACATTGATGGACACTTTCGGGTAGTCTTCTGCTTAGTGGATGATCCATGATCAACAAGGTCCTTTGGGGGTTGAGCAGAAGAACCGGTGCTTCCCCCGAACATAGAGCGGCCCACTAGTTTGGTTTTTCAACACATGAAACAAGCCATTAATAAGTTCAGTAAGTCACTAATAACAGTAAGTCAGTAGCATAATATAAGAGATAATACCCCAAAACATAAAATAAGGGGGTAAAACGGTATTAAGAGTAAGACAAAGTTTGTCATGTGTAAAGTAAAATCACTTCTTTCTATTCCACAAACTTTCTCCATTTTCAAACATGCACACACTCTTTAATTTCTAATTTTATTATACTCAAGCTTCTCTTTACTGTAATAATTTGAACTTGTTAGTTAGTGCACAAAGAAGGATGGGTTGTGTGCAGTGCATTAAAAAGCCTAGTCCAAGTCACAGGCCAGGTTTTGAACCATTTTTACCGTGGTATAGTGATGGTAGTTAACAACCAGAATGTAGCAACCAAGAAAATCACAATGGCCTCAGTCACAGATGAAGACTGTAGTAATGAAAGGGGCAATAATAATGGACAAGTAAAGATTGGCAAAGCATGTTTGAAAACCTGGCTTGCTAACATGCTTGTTATGTTGTATTTGAGCAGATCCTGCCACTTGGCTTGAAGTACCAGCTGTAAATGATTGCTGTTTCCTTTTACCATGATTGGGAATGGATCTCCCAGCAGTTTCTATAGTAGTCTTCATTGTTTTCTGAGTTTTTGCTTGCTTCAAAGTAGAATGTTGCATTTGAGCAGATCCTACCACTGGGAACGAATTTCTAGTTGTCAATGATTGTTGTTTCCTTTGATCCTGTTTGAGAATGGATCTCCCAGCAGTGTTCATAGTACTCCTCATTGTTTTCTGATTTTTTGCTTGCTCTAAAGTAGAACTTTGCTCCATCCCCTGCTTCGGAAGATCTTGTATGCTTCTATTCGTTGTTTTAAAACTTCTCAACTTGCCTCGATACAATTCAGCATTAGACTTTATACTGTCTGGAACATCTACTAACCTTCATCAAGAAACGTATAATAATTATTAGTAGAAATTGTGATGACTGACTGAAGTAAATATAATGTGTTCTAATAGCTGAAAAGGATTGCAATAAGTTCCTTCTTTTGATAATTCGACTCAGCCAACTGTTGGAGCAATAGTATTCCTGAAACAAGAAATTGTACTTACGGTTCTACACTAGAAGGTGGCATGGGGCGTTTGAGTTGTGGACTAATGTAAACATCATCTCTGGGCTTCTTTATCTCTATCAAGAACAAAAAAAAATGGTTTTTCAGCTAGACAGAAATGTGCACAATAGATGCCAAGAAAGAGAAAAAATGATGGAAACATAAATACACACATTAAATCACCAAAAAGAAAAACTTCAAGTTCAACAAAGTATGAAAAGTACAGAAACATGAAACATCTATATACCCCAAAACATGGGGAAAAATTAATAAGCTCGGTAAGTCAGCATTAACAGTAAGTCAATAAGGCTATCAAATGAAAGGCGAGATCACTTATTCCTATTCCACAAACATGCTCCATTTTCAAACATGCACGCTGTCTTCAATTTCTAATTTTATTATACTCTCAAGCTTCTCTTTACTGTAATAACTTGAACTTGTTAGTTAGTGCGGGAAGAAGAGTGGGTTGCGTGCAACCAGTATGTAGCAACCAAGAAAATCACAATGGCCTCACACATGAGGATTGCAGTGACAAAAAGAGGAACAATAATGATGGAAAAGTAATGGTTCGCAAAGCACGTTTGAAAACCTGGCATGTGATCTTGCTTGTTATTATGTATTTGAGCAGATCCTGCCGCGTGGATTGAACTTCCAGCTGTAAACAGTTGCTGTTTCCGTTTACCATGCTGGAGAATGGATCTCCCAGCAGTGTCTGTAGTAGTCATAGTTGTTTTTTGGTTTTGTGCTTGCTTTAAAGTAGAATGTTGTATTTGAGCAGATCTTCCCACATGGATTGGACTTCCAGCTGTCAATGGTTGTTGTTTCCGTTGACCATGTTTGAGAAGAGATCTACCAGCGGTGTCCATAGTTGTCATTGTAGTTTTCTGATTTTTAGCTTGCTTTAAAGTGGAGCTTTGCTCAATCCCCTGCTTTGAAGAACATCCATTGAAAAACATCCACTTTATAATTTCTGGAACATCTAGTAACCTTCACCAATTGAAATGTATAATTACTAGTAAAAAATTTGATAACTGACTGAAGTAAGCATAATGTGTTGTAATAGCTGAAAAAGATTGCAATAAGTTCCTTCTTTTGATAATTCAACTCAGCTATGCTGGAGCAATAGGATTCCTGAAACAATAAACTGAACTTACGGTTCCCCACTAGAAGGTAGAATGGGTTGTTTGAGCTGTGAACTAATGTTAACATCACCTCTGGACATTTTCCCTGTTGGGAAACAAAAAAAAATGGTTTTGAGTTGTAGAGATAAATATATATATATATATATATATATATATATATATATATATATATATATATATATATATATATATATATATATATATATATATATATATATATACTAGATACCAATACAATGATGGAAAAACTAACAATTCAATAAACTTGCATAAATTAAATTGCCAGAAAAACAAACTTACAAATAAAGTATCAAAAGTAGAGACATAAAACATTAATATACCATCACTGTTCAGTTTAACATGTGTCTCAGCATCAGCTTTTTGTTCCGTATTACTTTTTTTCTTCTTTGCCCCACGTTGTACACCTTTCCTTTCCTTATTTACTTTCATTGAGACAAAAATCCAATCTGTGAATCAACACAAACGTAATACACACATATAAATATACATACATATACTGATTTAATTTTATACATGCATACATTATACTTTGGGCTTTCTCTTAGAAATTTCATACATTCTTTGCCCATCAAGCATACTAAAAGGAAACAATTTAAAAGAAAAAGGAATATTCAATTACCATCACATCCGCTGCGGAAAATATTATGAAACAGAATATGGCAAGTGAGAACACAACGGAACACTTAACAAAGGTAGAACAAGCACAACATGACACCAATAGGGAGTAAATTACAATCAAACAATTGAAAACGCCAACTAAATGATGTACTAAAGAAATTTAAAGTTCAGCACTAATCTAAGCCATGAACAATTCCTATCTGATTCAAGTTCAAGCCTGTTGGAATTTTTTTATTTCACGGTAAATTAAAACTTGGATACTCACTCATATCTTGCATTTTCCCCCTATGCTCAACCCTTTAACCAATATGCCTAAGTGGTAAAATCACAAGTGAGACAATACTGAGTAGAAAGTAACAGCTGATTTTATTTTCTCTTCCTACACATCATGCTAGAAATGAAAGAAAACACAAGTACGTGAGAGAAAATACAAGTACAGGCTACCGCAAGATTATTGCAATGTTGAGTCTTCAGTAGTTTTTGGTGAATGAATGTTGAATATGTTTATTATGTTCCAATCAATTATTCCTGTCCTATTCATTGTTATACAAGTACGTGAGAAGCATCAATTATTCCAATCAATTTTTTTACATGTGGAGTGCAACTGATTAGCATAGTACTTTTTCATATTGTTAGAGCTCACATTGTACTCTTACTTCTACTGGATAATTGATTAGTGAGATAAGGTTATTTGTGAAACACCTTTAAGGTTGTATAGCAGATAACATCTTGCAGAGCTAAGGAAACTTTAGTCCGTTGTTCCCTAAACCGCTAAGTTTTGACTTGAGTTGCTCTTTTATTTATTTAAACGCAACTGGCAGGAAGGTATTGGAAAGTATGACATTCATATTAAAAAAAAGTTCAACTACAAGGACTAAATAACTAACCATAACTTGTTTATCTCTTTTTTTTTACTTGTTAGCAGATTCATCCAGTGTTATTAATAGCGGAAAATAGCAAATCGCCAAAAAACTGATATGAGAAATAGAGGACAGCAAAGCGGATAGATAGAGAAGCCACAACACAGTTGAAATATAAATAAATGAATAAAATAAAGCATGTAAGCACACAAATAAGAGTTGCATAAACATAAATTTAAAAAGCAACTAACATAAAACTCAAAATCTCAATATTTCAAATAACTAATAAAGCATGACGCATAGTTGCACACATTACATGAAGGAGATGAAGAAACATAGTGAAGTACAAAGTGTTACATTCTTCTTTCTTGACGTGGTAAGTTGTGTCTTTAACTAAGTAAAGGTAGTGAGGTTTTATTGCTTTAGGTATTATATATCATACCACTAACCGAACAACCACTTCATATTTTGTAATTTTTGTTAATGTTTTAAAAGTTTGGCCACCACCTCAGGTTATGTAATTTTTTTTAAGTTTGAAAATTTTGGTCACCACTAGAACACACAACTTCACTATTTATTACGTACCAGTAACATCCAATATATCAAAATGCACCGATATATATGATGTCAATGCCAGATAGCACCAACCCCCTAAAATGCTATACAAACAAGTATAGTGGAAGGAGGGATAGCCGCTATTGCAAAGACTAAAAACCCGTGTGCAACGTAAATATAAATACTCAAAAATAGAAAAACTACATAAAATTATAGAGACATTCATTTACTTAATAATTAAAGAACTTAAAGTAAAAAAAGCAATAAAACTAACAGAGAAGAAAAACATAACATAACTAAACCAAAAGTAGGAAAAACAGAACAATTGTTTGTGAGCAAGAACATAACATATCAGAATAACATATTTTTACTCTTAAAAGTGTCCAAAATCGGCATATATCCCTAAAATAACTTTTTTTAAACTAAGGTTTTGAGAAATTTAACCCTGAAATCCTAATAGCTGTTGCGGTGTCGGTTTGGGGCGCAATCAGCTTCCTCTACACCCACTATTGCTGATGACATCACATTGAACCCTAACACCGCTACCGCTACACTGTTACACTATTGCCTGCTATTGACAGCATAGGATTCATCTACAACCTTAGAATTAAATCCAATTACACTGTCTTTGGTGATTGTTGTATTGCAACAAAAACTAAAAGTGTATGGAATGAGTATGAAATTAAAGTCGAAAAGCATCACAATACATAACTAAACAACCAAGAACCTAAGTAGCAACAAATAGAAAACCTAACAAAGTTAAAATCAGTAGAATCAAAACCCTGAGCTAAGTTAAAATCTACTTAACGATACATAAAATCAATTGAATCAGAAAACATGCGTTCAGAACCAGCAAAGTTGACTTGAATGGAACCCAAAAAATAACCGCATAGAAACTACTAGATAACAGTATCGGTGATATCATCACATACTTGAGTAATTGATTCTGAAATCGAATTGAAAAGTGCTCAGTGAAAAATGCGAGAGTAGCGGAAGGTCAGCATGAATGCTCGATGAAGGATTTGGTGGAGAAATGTGCGAGAGATTCTGCGATCTTATGCTAGGTTTAGGGTTCTGCGATTTTATGTTACGATTGGTAAAATGAAGCGCGAAAAAATTAGAGAAAATATATTTTGTACGCCAAAGTCGAACACAAATACCTTGTATTTATATACTCTCTCTTTCTTTTAGAATTAAATATTATTAATAGTGTTTAATTGATATATATTGTAATTGTCATCCAATAAAAAATTTAAAAAATTAATATGGTCATTAAAAGAAATTTTAAATATTAGTATGATGTGGCGAAATTCATGATCATATATCGTATAAAAATAATTTATATTATCGATATATTATCTCCCTCTTATTAATATTGATTAAGAAAAATAATATAATAATAATAATGGTGCACTCACAGTATAAATTATTTTAACACTGTTAATCAATGACAATAATGTATTCCACCAAGTCAGCATGTAAATTTTAAATTATTTATATGATTTGATAATTTAAAATATTTTGATTGAATGTATGTGTAATAGGAGTACTTTTCACGATAGTACACTACCATTAAACTCATAATAATAATAATGATAAATCATTTTTGAATCACAGTTATAAATTAATAATATTTGTGCTTATCAAAAAATACATAAGAATAGCAATCTCTAACTAATAAGGATTGTTTAAGACTTTTGGGGTGCTTGTGGTGGTTAGAGCAAACACACGAAGGTGAGAAGCTCTGTATGTGTGATATTTATTGTGAATATGAGATTATGGTTGAGGTATTTATAGGGGCTCGTGAGCTTAGCACATGACATTACACATGTTCTGCCATTTGGGTGACTCGCTCTTCGGCCATTTGATGAGGGTATGTTCTTATGTCGCTTCATGCGGGTCTTTTACAAATATTCTCTTAAGCATGAGGGTTTGTAAAGGGCAAAGTGATTAAGTTTGTCCTGCGGGTCTGAATCTTATTCTTCCTTCCACACGAGGCCCTTAACCAGGGGTGAATCTCGTAGTTAGGCTGAGTCCCTCAATTAGGGACGAGTGTAACATCTTAAACCCCGAAACTTATATAAAAATAATTATTTGACCATTTAAGGTGCCACTTCGACAACCAACCGACAAAACATAAACATTTTCAAAACATGCAGCGTAAAAACAAACAACATATAACATATGTCATTGCATGTTCACTTTCACTTAGGGTATCATCACAGCGGAATCACATTAATTGCGATAATAAAATATATTAACTTCAATTTGAGTCTTATAAATACTTAACTTTCACAAAATGATTCAAAAAAAATTTAAACAACTCCAAAACAACTTAGCATAATGGCTATTAAACCCCAACAAACAACTAAGTCGACATCAAACATAATAAAAGAAAACATCGTTCGCCCCAGTGTTACCGAATCAGAGCATGACGACTAAATACGATAACTAATGAAAATGACTCCAGGAGCTATTTCACACTCACATCAGCAACTCTACTTTTGAGTATCTGCAAGATGTCCATGGTGGACAACATTAAAGCAAAAGGGTGAGAATTCACGTTAATAATTTAACGTCATAAGCTACAAGGTAGAAGAAAAACAGTTACACATTCAACAATAATCACACAACATCATACTCACACATAATCCATCATCATGCACAAAGCAATCACATGTTCGTCATTTAGTTTATGCAATGCAACTCACAACTTCAACCAGACTCATATGCATGTGGTATCATATCATCATTAATTGATTCACTCATGAATCAAGTTCACCCTACTCGAACCCTAAATTTACCATGCTCGGATTCGGGACAAGTCATCAATCCACCCTGCTCAGATTGCAACCTACCACTTTCATCAGCAATAATGACATAATAAATGCATGTCACGGCACGTCAATGCGACAACAACATGATGTTTAAAGTCCCCTCCCAACAATAAACAACACATGCATTGACCCAACGAAAATAATTCCCCTTCTGAACTATCATCCTAGAACCAAATATTTACAATGTAACAACATAAATCATGCTCATACAGCAGCATATCATCATTACAATTCATAATAATTAACACGACATCATCATCACGTGCGCAAGTATCCATCATTCATCGTTATAATTCATATATTCGGTTAAAATCATGTTTAATTCTTAAGTCATACCAATAAAATCATTAACTAGTAGCTAACAGGGCCTACCAGTACCCAAAACATCCACAAAAGTCAAAAATTCAAAATCTACAAATTAATATCATCAAAATAAGCATTTACGTCTACTACATACTAATAATGATTTATCTGTCACGGTCATGACGCTCGTCACCGACCTCAACACTTCAGAACATCACTTATGTGACTAGGGATGGCAACGGGGCGGATCGGTGGT